ATAATTGTGATGGGTTCCCCCTTCCTCCCCCAACCCCCCTACCCTTATCTTCCTAGTATCATTGCTTCCCTTATTGGTCTGGAGGGGTTTATCTGTTCTGGATTCCCTGTGTTGCTAGCTCTTACCTGTACTAGTATACATGTTCTGGTCTAGCCTGATTTGTAAGATAGAATTGGGGTCATGGTAGTGAGGGTGGGGGTGAGGAAGCATTAAAGAACTAGAGGAAGGTTGTATGTTTCATCAGTGCTATACTGCACCCTGACTGGCTCTTCTTTTCCTTGGCTGTTCTGACAGGGGTGTCCAATTGACTACTGATGGGCTTTGGGGCTCTACTCTGCCCTCCCCCGCATTCCTACTGATATGCTTTTTGTTTGTTTTGTTTTGGGTCTTTGATACCTGATACCTGATCCCATTGACACCTCATGATCACACAGGCTGCTGTGCTTCTTCCATGTAGGCTTTGTTGCTTCTCATCTAGATGGTTGTTGTTTATCTTCAAGCCTTTAAGACCCCAGATGCTATATCTTTTGATAGCCAGGCACCATCAGCTTTCTTCGCCACATTTGCTTATGCATCCATTTTGTTTTCAGCGATTGTGTCAGGGAAGGCGAGCATCACAGAGTGCTGTGTTAGTAGAACAAATTGTTCTTGTATTGAAGAAGAACTTGAGTGGAGGCCCAATGTCCATCCACTACGGTAATACTTTATAAATAAATATATGTACATAGATCTATTCCCGTCATTATAATATAAATGTATTTACATATATACATGCCTGTATTTGGACCTCTATAAATGCCCTTTGCCTCCCAGTTTTTCCCTCTATTTCCTATTACTTTGCTCCTGTCCCATTATTATGTCCAGCCTTCATTCAGGTTTTGGTAATTCCTCTCGGCTACATTGCCCTTGACTGAGCCCTCCCAAGCATCCTATGCCCTCCTCGCCATCAATTTTAGATCACTTATTCCTCCCTTGTCCCTGGGTTTGTTGACACCCCCCTCCTTTTCTCCATCTCTCCCTCTCCTGTGTCCCCCCAGAACTTTCGGTCCTATTGTTCTCTCCTCTGGATTGTTCATACCGCCTATCTTGTCCAGATAGACATGCATAGACAATAAAATGAACAAAACAAAGCAGAGCTAAACATAATAAAAGAGAAGACAATAAATCAACAACAGGTAATTCAACAAAACAAAGAAAGAAAGAAAGAAAAAATGAAAAAACCAGCAGCAAAAATGGAAAAGCCCTCAGACAGTTCCAGGTCTGTTTGTTAACCTTTATGTTTTCCAATAGAATCCGCTGGGCCACGCTCTGGCCCCCAAGTCCACCTTTGGGATTCCTTGGGGACTTCATTGCTTTGCTGCTCTTGCTGCTCCACTGCACACCCTTAGTGTTCACCCTGGCACAGTAGGGTCGGATCAGGCACATCTCTGACACTGTGTCCCCAGTGCTGTCCCCCTCAGCGCTATGTGTCAGTGAGGGACATGTCATCGTGTCTTGTGATGGGGCCAACCCTGTGATCCACTTAGCATTGACTATTCTAAGCCAGAATACTGTCCTCAGGGCTTGGTGGGCTGGGGTGTGTTCCACTCTCTCCTTCCCTCTTTGTTTGCTCCTGATCCGACGGGCCCCACTTCCTGAGCTGCAGCTTCAATGCTGTCCTCTGAAGTGCATTCCTCTGGCTTGGGGGTGCCCACCATAGTTGAAAATTGGGGCAGGCCCTGCTGACCTCTCTATTGGTTCCTGCTTCATGCCTGTATGTTGCATTCGTGTCTTGGTGCACTGGGTTGAAGTCTGGTCCTTCTCTCCCTCCCCTGTGGAGATATAAACAACACTCTCTCCCTGGCTGGGTTAATGCCCTGTTCCCACCACCTCCTGTCTCTCTCTCTTATTTATTTTTTTCTCCCTCCTCATTATTTGGCTGCCATATGTATCCCTGGGTTGGGTTTGGCAACTGCCATAGTACCTGGACTTCACCCCGGGAATGTATGTATTTAGTAGCTTTACCCATATGCCCCTTTTTGCAAATTTTTTTTTTTTTTTGCTTACCTCAGTGGACTCATGTTGTACTTGACCTTTTGTGCTTGGCTTACTTCGCTTAGCATAACTTCCTCTAGTTCTTCCCATGTGGTGATGTGCTTTATGCATTCATCACTGCTTTTTAGGGATGTGTAGTACTCCATGGTATGTCTATACCACAGTTTTTTAATCCATTCATCCGTTGATGGAATTTGTGTTGTTTCCAACTCCTTGCAATTGTGAACTGTGCTGCGATGAGCAATGGAGCACAGATGTCTGACCATGGTCTGTTTCTTGTCTCGTCTGGGTATATGCCCAGTAGGGGGATTGCTGGGTCATATGATAGCTCAATTTCCATCTGTTTTATGTGGTTGGAGGTGGGGTGGCCAGCCCTCCACCATTAATCATGGGTTCAGTAAGCACAATTGTATGGTTGAGATATTATATTAAAGTCATCAAGAGCATGAGAGATAAAAGAGAGAGTCAAATAATGGAGTCAAACACATTTCATGGTAGCAATGCTCACTTCAGCCCCGCTTGGTGGTCCACGTGGAGAGATGGGGAAGGGAAGGAGGACAGAGGGAAAGGGAAACAGGGGAGGAGAGGGAGCTGAGGAGAGGTCAAGGGAGGAGCCGAGAGACAGAGAGAGAGACAGAGAGAGAGACAGAGAGAGAGACAGAGCGAGCTAGCTCTCTATTGCTAACCCAGGCCTATATACCTTTGGGGGTGTGCAAGCCCACTAATTACAGGTAAAGACACAGGAAGGGGTTGCACTATAGGTTATATAGTAATAGAAGGGGGTGGTCTAGGGGCAGACCCACAATAGGAAGAGGAGGGGTTGTGGGTATGCATGTGACAAGACGGGTGGATCCTAGATACAGGATGGCAGCTTAACTGAGCTGGTTTGACCTGTTCTCTGGATCTCCATAGGAACCATTATCAGTAGGGTGTGAACCTCACCTATAGGAACCAAGCTAATGGCCCCAAACCTTAGTCCATTGTCCCCAGCAGCAGGGAGCAGGCCCACCCCTTGGGCTGGTGACTGACTGTCTTCAGGTAGGATGTCTGTAAGCATCTGACCTCCCTCCCACAGTTTTAGATATCGCCAAATCTATTTCTATAGTGGCTGTACATACCTACAGGTCTACCAACAGTGGACGAGAGTTCCTATCTCTTCATAGCCCCTCCAACACTTGTTACTTTCTGATTTTTTTGATTTGGACTGTCAAATTAAAACAATCATAGTTGTTTTAATTTGCCTTTCTTTTATGGCTAGGGATCTGGAACATTTTTTCTTATGTTTATTGGCCGTTTGGATTTCTGCCCTTGAGAAACTTCTGTTCAGGTCCTTTGCCCACCTCCTTAGTGGGCAATTGGTTTTTTTCTTGTTGTAAGTTAGCAGAGTATTGTAGATTTTAGTAATAAGGCCTTTGTCTGATGTATCATTGCTAAAGATGTTTTCCCAGTCTGTGGTCTCTCTTATTACTCTCTTGGTGAACTCTTTTTATGTACACAAGAGTTTTATCTTCATTATATCCCACTTGTCAAATTTGTGCCTCCTTTGTGTTTGTGTCCTTCCCTATTTCCAATAGCCTATGTATTCTCTGAGTCAAAGTTCTCAGATTTGCCCCAATTCCCTCGTTGATGGTCCTAATAGTTGGAAGTTTTACCTCTAGGTCTGTGATCCACCATGAGTTTATTCTTGTGCATGGCGTTAAATAAGAGTCTTGCTTCATTTTTCTGCAGATAGGTATCCATTTTTTCTAGCATCACTTATTGAAGAGGGCATCTGCTTCCCATTTGATTTTTTTGGTCTTTATATAAGATGTATTCTGTATGCTGATGATTTTACTTCTGGGTTTTCAATCCTTTTCCATTGGTCTGAGTATGTATCATTATACCAATACCACATTGTTTTGACCACTGTGGTGCTATAATAGGTACTAAAGTCAGGTAAAGCAAGCCTTCTCACTTTGTCCTTATTCTTGAGGAGTTCTCTGCTAATTCTGGGCTTCTTCCCTCTCCATATGAAGTTTGTAATCAGTTTTTCCAATTCTTTGTAGGATGATGGTATTTGTGTCAGAATACCATTAAACTTATATCGTGCCTTGGGAAGAACTGACATCTTTACTATATTGAGTCTTCCAATCCATGAGCATGGGATATCCTTCCATTTGTTGAGGTCACTCTTGGTTTCTTGTAATAGTGTTCTGTAGTTTTCCTCATGCAGATCTTTTGATTTTTTAGTCATGTATATCCCTAGATATTTTGAATTGTGCTTGGCTATTGTGAAGGGTACTAGCTTTTTGATCCCCTCTTCCATGGTCCTGTCCGATGTGTAAAGCAGTCCAATAGACTTTTGTCTATTGATCTTGTACCCTGCCACTCTGAATGGCTTTGTCATTTGTTTCCTTTTTAAATCCTGACTGTTAACATTTCTATTAAAGTTGTGCTATTTTCAGTCAACAGCTTTGGAGAGGTATCACTCTTTCAAATGTTGCTGCTGTTGATGATCTCTGCCTTTCAAATTGCAGTCAGAACCAACTCCATTGATTTTTATTATTATCATCAAAGGCAAATCTCTTTGTTTGGGGTAAAGATTTGAATTTTGGGAAGAACCAGCAGTCATGTATAACTGTTTTATATGTGATCAATTAGGATTTTAAAGCAAAAATGATATAATGAATTAGTAAAGTTGATCATCTGTGTGATTTTAAGTCTGAGTCATAATACTAAATAAAAGTTTCAGAGATGTTTTCAGCAGAATAATTGGGAATACTGCTTTGTGTCCCTGAGAAACCATTTTGAAGGCTACTTTCATGTAGCTAGATATTTAGTGTTTGTATTTATAAACCAAAATGGAGTCCATAAAGATACAAAACAAATGTAAACCTGGTCGTCACACTGTATTTGACGAGTGTTCTGTCTGTGGTCAACCTGATAGCTGACGGCATGGATCAGGGCTCTTCCTTGGCTGTCCTGTTCTCAGTTGGTCCTTTCCCAGCTAATAGTTCTGATTCAGTAGAGGACTGAGTGATAAAAAAGCCAAGTTGAAAAACTTAGATAGTTCTTTTTTTTTTTTTTTGATAGTTCTTATTTAGAATAATATTTTTGGTCTTTTTTAAGCAGTAAAACTAGTCTATGGTTTTGATGCTAATGAACAAATCTATATATAAAGTCACAAAATTTAGCTCACTGACTGACTAAATACTGACTAAATACAAGGGGTTTTGTAAGTTTGTAAAACTGACTAAATACGAGGGGTTTTGAAAGTTTATGGAAAAATTCCTTTACCTTTTAATTCTATTTTTCCAGGAACTTTTTTTTTTTACATCTGGATTATTTACTGCTTTAAAAAATATCATTTTATTGGGGGCTCATACAGCTCTTATCACAATCCATACATCCATCTATTGTGCCAAGCACATTTGTACATATGTTGCCATAATCATTTTCAAAACATTTTCTTTCTACTTGAGCCCTTGGTATCAGCCCTTTTTTTCCCTCCCTCCCCCACCCTCCCTCCTTCATGAACCCTTGATAATTTATAAATTATTGTTATTTTTTCATGTCTTAACACTGATGGATGTTTCCCTTTACCCACTTTTCTGTTGTTCATCCCCCTGGGGGAGGGTTATATGTAGATCATCCAAGAACTTTTAAATGCCCTTTCCTGTATTATAAGCTTAGTGCTTCCATTATACAAAATATTTTCTCCTAGACAAATTGAACCCAAGTACACACTGATTGATGTAGAGGTAGAAGTGTGTTACATCTCTGTGGTGCTTGATTGCATGTGGGTCTCAGTTTTCTTTCTAGGGATTAAATGAGATTGCGTCATCTTTGGGATCTCACTCCCCACTGTAGGAAACTGAAGTAATTAAAAAATTAGGTTTCCTCTCCCTGGCTCGCTCCTCCTTCCACTCCCCCTGTCCTGCACCCCTGTTCTCTTTCCCCTTGTCCTCCTTCCCCTCCCCCTCTCCAGTCTCCAATCTCCATGTGGATCACCAATCTGGCTCAGGTTCTTGGCTTTGCATCAGAAAGAATTCACACGAAAGTCTGGTTTGCAATCCAAATGTGTCTTCTGCCTAAGACTCCGTGCACCTCTTCTGCTCAAAGCAAGGGCCAACCTGACTTAAGTTCTCCTGAGATGACCAAGCAGCCAGACTACGGCCTGGACACCTTTGAGAACAAAGCAGAACCCACCCTCGCCAACTTTACCAAGTACCTCTCAGCCCTGCAAGGTTTCAGGAAGGCCCTGCGCCTGGCCATACAGGTGGAGAGCAAGCCAGCAAGCAAATCAGCAAGAAATAGCCCCAGTGATGACTGTAAATAAATTTTAAAATAATGGAAGTTTCCACAGATTTTTGAAGCCCCCTTGTATATCTATCACACAACTTTTGCCTGTTCAGTTATTTACAGGTTTAAGCCTTATTGACAGCAATTAAAAGAACATGTTTGCAAGTGTACCATTCCATGATCCATGTAGTTTTTCCATCACCCCTATCCTCCACCCCCCTACTTTCTAAATACTAACCCTAGTAACCACTAATAAACTTTGATATCTATTAAAAAAATATTAGGTTTCAACCAGACCACTTTAGGAGTGTCTGACTTTAGTACCAGCACATAAATTATTTCTTTCCCAAATAGATACTTTGGCCATCTGCTCCCATACCATAAATACCAGGTGTCAGGCAGTGCGCCCAACTGTAGCTTTCAGGAATTCAAACCTCCCAGCTGACTAATCAGAAAGGAGTTTACAATGCTCGTTTCCGCCTCAGTTCTTTCATTCCTGGGAGAGGGAGGATTGTTTACCCCGGTGACAACTGGATTCCATTTCCAAAAATTCTTAAAGTGACTTCATTAAAATTTTCTGTATTTTGATATGACAAAATACCAATTTATAAACTATCAAGGGCTCATGCGGGAGGGGGGAGCGGGGAGGGAGGGGAAAAATGAGGACCTAATGTCGG